ACCACGTTTCTATTGTTTTCCTTCCACCACTACCACGTTTCTATCGTTTTCCTACCACCACCACCACGTTTCTATTGTTTTCCTTCCACCACTACCACGTTTCTATTGTCTGGCTCATTAATAGTGGCGCACGGTCGTACATTCTTTGCTCGGTGTTAATTTCTTCAATTACTGAGTGAATCTCGTTTTTTTCCCACTCAATTTTCTTGTTACTTGTCATTTATGAGTTAAACCAAATTAACTATGCCTGAAACTCGTACCGCGAAGGCTGCTACAAGCACTTTGGGACTTTGTAGCTGCCAGAAAGAACGTTTAGGAATTCAATCGACTCACTGTCGACCAACGTAGATACCCCGGTTAGATTCCGTCATCGTCCAAGTCGCAGAACTCAAAGCTAGACTAAATAAAACCCAAAAAGACACTTGGAATGAAGACGAGCCTCGAGTTCTCCCAGAAAGACATCTTTGCTCGTCTCAGGTTTAGGGTTAACCCTAACCCTAACCCTAACCCTAAAACCTGACGGACTACATGAGGTCAAAGAGATTGAGACTGAAATGTGCGGTTACCTTTATTATAGCACTGATAACAACAAATATCTGGACAACCAAAGTAGAAGGGAAAATATTTGAAAAGACGGCATTCGAGAAGAAGAAGCGCACACCCGGGACAACACCGACACATGACCAAAGTGAAGCCGGAAGGAGCCTTAATCCATTAAGTATTTTCATTACTTATTTGCTTTATTAACGTCTACAGCTCTTTTATTGTCCTCGGGGTCATCTGTTGTACTCTGGCGAGATTCCCGAAAAACTGATTAACATAAACTTAAGCTTAACAACACAAGTCTTGGAAACTATATGTCAAATATTGAAAGCTAAATGAATCAATTATTGGTTAAAAAATACGACATCCCAATATGATTCTATCATCAGATCATATCACTGACACAACTCCGTCAAAAAAAGATTGCAGGAAGTTAAAACTTTTATTCAGTATTAATTCACAGTGTATTAGTAACACAACATGTGCTGAAAATCAAACGATGCCTTTAGATTGAATATTTAAGTGTTCAGCATTTTTTACTTGAATAAAGTGAAGAAATAATTATGTGTACCGTTAAGTGTTCAGTACTACCCCCATCGAGTGTTAACCGACCAAAATAAACTACAACTTTGAACCAAGCCTAGTCACTATGGCACACTCTCCGGTTGGCAAACTGAGAGTAAATGCCTGTTTAAGGGGGACCCCAGATAGGTGTGATAACATGTGGCAGGTCACCCCACCTCCCATGTAAACGTGATCAAATTAAAATGAGAGATTATATGGACAGGCGGGTTACCCCACCTAAGCGCGTTACCTCGCCTAACTGGGGTCCCCTACAACGCAAACTGGCGCTAAAATTGTTATGAAGTAGCCCGTCAGACTCCTTTGTTATATGTTTTTGTGGATTGGACGATACACAACGTTCAATAGCATTCCTATCATTTAGATCATATTAACCAATAAAAAAAGTTGCATTACCTCATTCTGTCACAATTTGCCAATGAAGAACAAAGGATTGTGCACCGTCAGGGAGCTCTCAACATAAACGTCCGCACCGTTGTTTTTTTCATCGATGTCTAGTCTCCCCTACCAATGGAAAAACCTAGACGATACCTAGGCTCAACTAGCCAAGAATTAATTCCACAGCCTACAATTACCAACTAGGAAACAGAACACCAAAGAACTAGGATGCCTTCAGCAAACGTTTAATGACAATACTAAAATAATTAATTATTCAGGTAATATTCTCTTTTTTCTTTAAATACGTTACTATATTCTACCTTGAATTCTCCACTGAAAATACATAATTTCAATAATATTTGATTCCTCAAGTGACAATGAATAAATATCAAATATATTTTAAACCACTAAAAATAACATTCTGTAGCTGTTAAAATCAAAATAATTCATATTAATAGTTCTTCTCTTGAAATCAAACAATGGTGTAATTCAAGTAATATCACATCATCTGGATAAACTAAAAACTTAAAACTGTCTTCATTGGCAATTCAACTCAACCCTTTTTGCCTTTTCATTAATAACTTCCCAAGAAACCACACCCTCTGGTTGGGTCATATAAAAAAACTATGTCTTCAGACAGACTCGTTGGCATCTTGAGGATCCTTGGAAGGAAAAACTGTTTAGGTATTTACTTGATTACACCCTTGTTATAAAAATATGACAAAACTGTGTTATGAATATTAATGAGCCTTGAGTACAACTTACTTAGGATAAAGACATCATCGTCCTGTTGACTGAGTAAAACCTTGTGAAATCTTAGAAAGGAAATTAGGTGTTAACCCACTGCTCCCTTAGCTGCCTCATATGCCCTAATTCTGCCAGTCTACTAAGGCGCATATTGACATGGTTACGTATTACTGTTAGGAACATCTCTTGCACAGTTACTTTTGCCGATTGTCTGTACACTAAACCCATATCAAACAACAGTGTTGCTGGATTGCATGTGATGTCATAAAAATTAGAACTCAAGACTTACAAATTCTTCCGAGGTTTTAATTTCACAAGGGGGTAACACCTAAACAATCACATTTTAACAAATTTTCGGGGTTCTTCATATTGTAAAAGACTGGATGGTTTGGAAAGCTGTCATGAAGGTTAGAAAGTGACTCATCTCTTACTAAGAGATGAACAATACTTCTTGTAAAAAAAGTATTACCTCCTTTTTAATTTTCATTCGTTCGTCCAGTGATAAATTTACTCTTTTGAAGCAAAACCACTTTGCAAAAAAAAGATTTGGACCTCTTTTTGTTGGTTATTGTCCTTGGGGATAAGAGTTTCAATTCCAAAATAACGCAATAGCTGTATATAAAGCATACAACCTTTCATTCGAACAAGTTTCCTCTGCAATTTAAAACCAAAACAACTAATTCCTTTATCAGTAAGAGCAGGATAATTTCTTTATATGGAACAGTACAAAATTGACAGTGTTGTCTACATTATGTACCCTGTATTGTGCACAGAAAACTTTCTTTCAAGGAATCTTGAAATTTTTAGCTCCTGTTTTAGGCTTCATGTCTGATTGCTTCTTTCTTTCTGTTTTTTTTTTCCTTCGTTAACATTGACTCAGTGCACTCAGCTTTTCTTATCGACTGTTTTTGCATTCCAAAATAACCTGCCATGCTTTGCTGAGCAGCCACTTTCCATATATGGTATTCTCTAGGGCAGTGTTTTAAAAAGGCAGATATTGATAGCCCACGGTAAGTGAGTCCAACACCTCCACCCCCTCCCCCGTCTTCCCCCACTTTGATAACCATATGGGAAATCAAACCAAAAATAAAAAATGTCCAAAAACACAATTTTCTAGAAATTTCTTATTTCAATTTCGTCCTTATGGTATTCTCTTTTATTTGTATACAAATTCACAAAACAAAACAGTTCTTTGAACTGAAACACTTAAAACCACATCTCTTAAAGAACGGTTGATTCCCAATTGTCCCTAATATAAAATCTTAGTCAGGGGGAAAGGACACCAGTTTTTGAAGCACCCTAAACACTCATTGACAGGTGTTTCTGTAGATTTTTGGCCATCATATTACACCAATATGGCATCGGTATACAAAGCACTGTAAATTAGGTATTACCCATGCCATAGAGAATATTCCCATCAGAAAGATAGAAACCTGTTACACCAATGAAAAATAGAGTGTGCAGATGGCAAACAGGCAAAACTTCATTGTACCAAAATTTCCAGAAGCAACTTTGCATTAAAACAACACCATAAAATCTGAGTTTTAAATTACCATTCAGATTCCTTAGAAGTTAGTCATAGTTAAAAAAGTAATATGCTATAATGCACAAAGATGTTAGTACAGACTATATGTAATATTAAAAGAGACTTTCTTAGAGTTACCTGTGATGCCAAGGCTTCCTATTTTTAACTATATTGTAATGTTGAGTACTATGGAATAAATTAGTTATGCAATGCATTGCTCGTAACTTGAAAGATTTAAGAAAGGTTTGAACCCAGGAGTCATTTCAAAAGTAGGTTGAGTTTGATTGTCCAGCTGAACGTAGTCCTGACCCTAACCCTAACCCTAACCTAAAGGTATAACACTCAAAAGCTTACTTCTTTGCATATGAAAAATCACACAAACCTTAACCTTGGCAAGGCTCTTTCATTTCTCAGATTCTGGACTTTATCTATCAAATAAGTGGTTACTATTTTTACTTTTGACGGCATGACAGTGCAAACCAGCAATACCCAACTACAGACAGATTTTAAAAAAATGGCCTCTAGAAAAGCTGACTAATGATAACTTTAGGTTTAATAACTGTACAAAAACATATACCGGAGGGAAAAAAAGCATTCATTAGCATTCATTGCTTGTTATAATGTGTGAAATATTTAGTGGGTGTGGCTAATAATAAACCTATTTTTACCTAATTTTGCCAAATAGTCCATTTTTTGCATGAAAAAACCAGCAAGTCAGCTCTTGATAATTTAATTATTATAACCCTAATTTTCCCCTTCCAGCAACTGACAATCAGAATCTACTGATTTTTCACTATCACTTAGGCTCTCTTCACTCATTTGACATTCCAATCCTATTTGATCAGCCTCCTCATCCCCATGCGCTAGTGCATATTCAAGACCTATTTCACTGTTTTCACCATTGCCGTCCCCATTACATGTACTGCCTGCATCACAGGATTGAACGATAAAACAGTAACTAAACTCTTCTGAAGGAACACTGTGATCAAAGTACTTGCATTCTTCCAAGTGTGCTGCCATGAATGGGGAGTTGGAATGAACCCACTTGTCAACTGGTGAGAATGATGTGGAGAAATACCATCTCTGTAATAAAAAACAGTGCCCATTTTTTTTTGCTTGATTATTGACCATGAGTCAATAAGATAATGCATTGAAACTAGATACAACATGTGGAGTCTTTCCAATTTGATTCAATTTTGTGATTGTCCTTGAAGATGACCACCTCCCATAAGCAACCAATGTTTTCTGCACCAAGGGTAAGAATAAGACATTCTAGGTAATTACACTGTACAGGGTGTATAATAATGTCCATTGTTATATTCCTACATGTAGACTTTCGCTCAACTCAACAGGGACTGCCATTTGTTGATTCTTGGTCACGTGGCCTTGACTAAAATCAAATGTATCCCAATCGGGATACAGTTGACTGTTACATGTATCCTTTTTGGGTGAAGCTTTTATCAGTAGTGGGCTTACAACTTTTAAGATGTAAGGCTCTTAAATCATAAAGAGCCATAGTACCTGTATTGCAAAAATGTCATGAGAAACAATTCAGTTATGAACCATTACTAAAAAAGTGACCACTGTAATCCATGAAAGAAAGTTCCAATGAATGAAAGGTATTAATCACCGATAGCTAGAAATACATGTGATATACAACTATCTCCAGAAGGGTAGGTGAATAGCGGTGGTTATATACTGAGACACAAAGCGTCAAGGTATACATCTACCACTGTTCACTGACCTTGAGGGGGATAGTTGTTTTAGTATTTACCAAATCAGCTAGATAAAAAAGAAAAAAGTAACTTTTCGTAACCAAAACCATCTTAGTAGGAACTTTGTTTACAATTTACAAACATTTCGAGGATTTTTTAAGTGCATTGATACGATTTTGTTGCAAATTCAGCATGAAAGTATTTCTCTATCTACCAGTAACCAAGGACAAGTCAAAGTTTGTAGCTTTCTTGGTGTTTATTTGTTTAAAATTGTATGACTGCTTCATTTATCGCTCAAATTTCGCCTTCCGAAAATGTCTCAATACGAGACACCATCTTGATCTTGGCTCTGGTTGCAAAATGGTGAATAGCCAAGGATATTCAGAGTTACGGGAGTCAATCAAAATGTGCAAAAATTGCTATTCACTGATTTGGTAAATACTAAAATATATTGATACAAACCTTTTGCCTTATCCTCCAACACCAGCTGCCACTGTCATAAATTCTCTTTTCCCATTCGAACAGGACCATTCCCTTTGTTTCCAGCACACTTCTACAAATTTCTCTGACAAGCTTACAAGTCCGAGAAAAGTTGCACAGACTAAACCCATCCAAGTAACTTGCTATCTTCTCCAGGATCTCAAAAGGTAAAGAGGTGAGAAGGTCCATGTTGGATTTGGCAGATATCTGTGTAGTATCACCTTGAGCAGTAACTGTGGAAGGACTTGTGCATTTTTCAACTCCACTGAAATGTCCACATGGTTTAATGCCAAAGCTTCCAAGTTCCTGATTAAAAATAACTGCTCCATTTTGACTGTGAGGGAGAAGCCTATACCGAACAAAGGTGCAGCCATACTGTGCCAGTGGGCAGCGGTGCTCTAACCAGCCATTAAGTCCCCCCTGAATATCACTGTGGACATTTTTGAAATGCCCACTGTATTCATCTCGACGAAACACTTGACTGCAAGGTATGGAATACATTGGAAATTGCTTTTGAAACTTGGGTAAGGTTTCCACGACAACATTCAGTCCAAGTGGTTGGTCAAGATAGACTGGCAAGTGATTTGGAGGGGGTGGTATATTATTGCCAGTGTGGGAGCCAAAAGGTGGCTCTCTATCTCCATCAAAGTCAGGCTCATTATCTTGGACCTTGGGTAGCCTGTGAAGTTTAATCTCATGTCCACCGTCACAAGAACTTTCCTCTTCGTAGTCAGTTTCAAGTTCGGAGAAAAATTCACTTTCGACCTCTTCTCCTGAATATTGTCCACCATCACGTTTTTTTCGTAGTTTATTTTCTAACGAAGACAGCGCTAAAGCCATCGCCAATTTCCTCGTTGCCGCAGGTTGGGGGCCATTGCCATGTTGATTCGGCGAGGTCGTCAAAGATCCACCAGACGTTCTAAGTAGATCCACTTTGGCTTTCCCTTTCTTGCAACGACGTCTAAACACGTCACGAAGTATTCTTTGATCCCTAAAGGCCAGCTCTACATCTAAATGGCCTTTAACTAGAACTGGATTCGGTTGAAAAAAAGGAACCCAACTCAAGCGCGACTTTGAATAAACTGGATAGCGATTCCATTCCATTGTGCAAAATATTACACTGGCAGGGCAACGTGGTAGATGAGTCCTTAAACTTTCTCTAGTGATTACAGCTGGACAACCATAGATTGAATTTATACAAGGAATTCGACATTTCTGGCATACATTCTTGTGATCTTCCATTTTACAGGCATGCAATTGAATGCCACAACCGAACACGCATTGAGTCATCTTGCAGCCATTTGGTTGGTTACAGTACAGCTTTATGCAGTTGCTACAATGTTCGTGGTTTTTAAATTCCATGATACAGAGGCACTTGAGCCAAAGAACATAACAGAAAGCCCCGTACCGGCAACGCTCCTTTGTCTACTTTCCTATTATGTTTATTTACATTTCATGCGACTTATCATCGGGTTTCTCCGATTACCTAGCGAAAATATATCGATTGGCTACGTCATCTGACGTCATGGCCTCATTCATCGCAACATGGCGGAAGATTTTTCGTCCAATTAAGCTCATACTTTTCTTTTCACTTATTAAACAGAAAAAAACCTTTCCTTTTGAATTTGAATAAAGATGACTCTCATGGTTTTCTTCGGATGCGCTTTCATAGCCTTTGGACCGGCATTGGCGTTATTTTCCCTCACTGTGGCCAAGGATGCCGAACAGGTTATCGTTTTGATTGCAAGGTAAGTTCAGTTTAAGCTGAGATTTCTTTAAGTCCTTGCTTTGTTATGGACTACGGTTAGGGTTCCACGTTAATTTTCGCGCGTTATCATCCAATCACCTGCGAACAGTTTCTAGATTACAGACAAGGAGGGGGGTACAATTTTCTAAGAGGCTTGATTTTTGGGGGTCAATTTTGAAAATGCACAAAATGTGAGGGGGTCGAAATATTAAGACACAGGACTGGTCTTCTTTGTAAGTTATGATTGAAGCAAATCCATGTTTCCTTCAAAAGTAGACAAAAAAATTCGCTTCGGCGGTTCTTTGGCAGCAACAAAATGTCACCCGTATCTATCAGTTATTCTACTACCAGGAATGTAGCGTTTATGTGCACACATATGAAAAAATATAGATTTTTTTTATTTCCTGAAAGCATTTTTATTATTAAATCGGGATAAATATATCGCATTATACTGATGTTTTGTGTTAGGATTTCCTTAATCCTTTTACTCATTAAGTGGAATGAAATGGCTCCGAATGTGAAGCCACAGACCCTGGTTGAGACTTTTGACCAAACCAACTCCAATTCTATCCCGGAGTATATGTAGCTCTCCATGTAACTTTGTTGACTTATCCTTTGTCAACACGCACAGTTGAGCGTAGCTTCAGCGGTATGAAGAGACTGCAAAGTCCTTTGCGAAGGACCATGAGAGACGAGAGATTAAGCTCTCTTGCAATTCTGCACATACACAAGCACAACTGGGCAACCTTCAGAATCTTATACTATGCTGCTGACTACCAGTATCTTATAGCTTATGAAATCAGTGCCCAGAAATGGAAGAAGAGACTTGGTCTAGAAGGTGTTGGAGGGAGGGGTGCGCATTTTAAAAATTGTTATTGCCTATGGGGGGTACAATTTTGATATGTAATTTTGAGTGGCACTGCAGAAATACGTTTTGTGACGTCACAGCACCTGGTCAGCGGTATTTGAGTTCGTTCGATCTTTTTTGTCCTTTGTCATCCTTCACTGCTTCGCTTAGATGCATTTATCACACGTTGAGGTCGGTTTTATCGTGGAATTAAATGGGCATACTGTTGTTTGTGGTTCTGGTGCATAATAATTATTAGTTTGTTCCATACAGACAACTTTGTTTCCTCCTTCAGATGGTCATTTACTATGCTTTTTTACCACCTTTCTTTTATTTATTTTGTTGACTTTTTTGCAATTCAGCATCTTATGTTATTTTTAATAAAACATTCACTCGAAAGAAACCTCTTGGTTGCCACTGTATTCATAACCAGAGAACCATCAGCCTTCTCTGCTTCATATCACTTCAGGCACAAATGAGTGGACAGCCTTAATGGAAATTACAGAGGCATTTAATTTTTTTGCAACAAAATTCCCTAGGTTCTCACAAAACTAACAACTCTTATTATTGGTAATTTATGTGAATAATCCTGTCCCAGACCATTAGCTTGTGTCAATAAGAAATATCTACATGCTCACTTTAAATGTTTACTGCATTCATAACAATGGATAAAAATAATTATTTTAAACTCTGATAACACAAAAAGAATTTTAAAACAACTTTGTAAATAATTTTCAAACTTTGTATTATCAATATTATATAGAAAAAATAATTCCTGAAAAGAAAAAAAATAATGCATTGAAATACTTATCCTTTATACATAAACCAGAATTAAGGTTTCATTACAGATTTCTTTCAGTACAGAATCAAACGAAAAAAATGGTCATTCAAAAACTTACCTCCTTGTGATCTTGTTTACGCTTTTTTGTCACGATCTTTTCGGTTTTTTCTCACTTTTGGCCAGCTGTTTGACATCTTTGGCGCTTCATTTCGGCACTTATTACACCAACGTGTAATTCGGCAGCAAAGCACCAGCTTTATATAGAGTTTGAAAGAACTTGCACGGGATGATATGAACATACAACTTGGCAGTATGTCACCAAGTTGAAGGGCAAGAACACCTGCGGTCATCTTGTCTTCGTATCAAATCAAAGTGATGCTGGCAAACCATTTCAAATGGCTCCAGCTCACCAGCTCTGCATACTTGAAGGTTGGTATGTCTTTAACAGGGCACAGCTACAGCCTTTGGAAATGTGCTTGTTTTTGGCCTTTGCACACAACATGGATCATCATGTCACAAAGACTATCGCGCCGCATACTTTCAAAAAATTCACTCACTGTGCAAGCACAGTTTGTCTTTGGCACAATATATAATGCATGAAAAGGAAGAAGGAAACGAGAGGTGAAGTTTCAAGATTAAGTTTTCAGTTTTTGCTCTAAGTTTTTGGGGTTTTTTATTGCCTACCGCACTCGCGTTGAAAACCAATTCAAAGTTACCGGTGTTTTGAATTTTAAAAGGTGATGACGCTGACCAGCAAAATACTGTATCGCGCCTTCAAAAATGTATTTCTGCGGTGCCATTTTGAGTTTGATTTTGAGTTTGAAACAAAAGAAAATGAAATTTGAACCAAGGATATAAAATTGAACCACAAAAGAGGGTACTATGTTGAGGTCGATTTTTTGTTTTTCTATTTTTATGTTTTGTTTTTATTTTTTTGCCCTTTTTAAGTGAGTGAGGATCGCCAGATGCACAAAAATTCAGTTTTTATTAGCGCTGACTCAGTGTTGACAGATGCATTGTAATAACGGTACTTCCAAAAAAAAGAGTCAAACCTTTGGTCGAGATGTCTAGGAAAAATGCACTGAAAATAACAATAGACGTGCTTCTGGTAGACAAAAGACCTTTAAGTCATGACTAGCTTGTCATGCAATGCATGTTTCAATCACTGGTTGAAACATTTGTAGGGGAGTCATTGCACTAGTGGGTCAGCAGGGGGTGGTCATTGAATTTTTTTTTTCTGAAACATTTTACATTGAATGATTTTTTTATTTTATTTTTATGGGGGAGAGGATTTCACTTCCTCCCCCTCTAATGGTCCACCATTAATCACAATATTACCAGTGTTTATTGTGCTTTAGTGGGACTTGTTATTAGCTAGTATAATAAGTATACTCGAGCCTTGTAGACCAAAAATAAATCTCTTGAAAATCCTGAAACTTTTCAGCATAGCTTAAAATACACGCCTGTGTTAAAATTGATAATTTCTTTGAACAGTGGACTTGACATCCAAGATCATGGACCAATCATTTCCAGGTTGCTGTTATTTTTACAAAATGTGTCTTGTTTTCTGCGTAACACTAGCACAGCCACATAATTGTGCAGGTAATGCAAGGTTTTTGCGTAAGATTTCCTGATTTCCTGAAAGTCTGTGATTCGTCTTGTTATTTTCTCTTGACCCAAAGGTTGAACTCCTCTTTTAGAACATCTGTGAGCAGTCTGGCCAGTGCAAATAATAGCTGAACTTTTGCATGTCTGGCACTCCTCGCTCACCTAAAAAACTCAGAAAAAATAACAAAAAAATGAACATAGAAAATGAATCCTCTACATAAAATTTGATGCTTGACATGTTACCCTTGACCTCAACACTTCATCCAAAAGCCAGACTCAGATTGGAGTAGTTTACTTAAAATACACCTTTTGCTGTTCATTACGAGAAAATACGCATTTATTTGCGTGAAAANGTGAAACTCAAGGCGCTGGTCCGCTGGAGGCTGGCAAAAAATGTAGTGCGGTTGGAATTAACAAATTCTGTATTATTATTAAACACCAGGGAATTGGCATTTTGCGGTTGAGACTTTCTGACATGGATTTCTTAGGGTTTTTTTAAATTTCTTAACAATTCTGACTAGTTTCTGGAAACTAGTTGCACTAGTCTGTATCCAACCCTGGATAGCCTATGACTATTTTGTATTCAGACCTGGAGCCTCTTTCACAATATTCTCCTGTAAAGTTACATCTTTCTCCTGTTACTAGAATTCTTAGTGAAAACCCCATGTGCATGTATGTTTTTGTGACCTTAGTTTGTGTCCCCTACATGGAGTTGTTTAAAAAGAGAGGTTCCACTGAGGTCGTTTTACCCAAAATTCAATTCACTTGCCTGAACAAAACTTAATTTGCCTGATCAATGCCAGTTTCCTATACCTTTCCAGGAGAAGTATATTGTATGGCACTGAGTTTCCTGATTTTTTGGTTTTGCTTCCCCACAAGTAATCCTAAAAGTGCTTGTATGGGCACTTCCAACCAAGGCTCCCACTCATTTGCAGAGTTAACTATCATGGAGACAATTTTCCTGGTCACTAAGGTGTCTCCTTAATGAGCTTCTGCTGTAGCTGATTATTATTATTTTCTGTTCTGAAAAGACATTTGTGATAGAATTCTGTTCTCATTGGTTTATTAATTTAATTAATTATTTATTCTTTACAGTGCATTTTTTTGGTTACTATCCTTGTTGCTATCTTCAATCTGGTGGACTGTGGTATCACCACTTAAGAAACATCTAGCCTTTGGTATTGCATTTTCAGTCATTTTTCAGGAACTCTTTAGACTGGCTTTCTATAAAATAATGAGGTGAGAATGAGAAGGTTGTTTCAAATGCATCAGTGATGTTTGATTGAGGAACAAATTAATGTTTTTTCTGATGTAGTTGTCACAGCTTGTGCTCTTAATCTAAAACATCAAATCATTTGTGCAAGCTTTCATCATGTCAATCCTAGAGAATTTTCTTGAAGCTTTTAACACCTGGGCCCAGTTGTTCAAAGGCTGATTCGCCCTTAACACAGGGTTAAATTTAACCATGGTTTCTTTTTCTTGTGTTCAAAAGCATTTTCTTGGATAATTTTCTCTGTTATTTTTATAGCTTCCAATCATCAACTTGTAGACAAAAAGAATTAAAACTGAAATGCTTTTTAAGCTTGCAAATCTGAATTATTCAAATCTTGCACTAACCCAGGATTATCTTAACCCAGCTTTGAACAACTCGGCCCAGGTCTATACACCTTGTTGGTTAGGAAATGTGTTGAGAAAGCCATAAGACAGTACAGATTATGAACCAAATACCCTTTGGGCTTGAATTTCACAAAGGCCTTATAATGTACATATATTTTCTGTCTTGTGGCATGCTGATTATCACATCTCTCACAGACATCCACCTCTAATCATTTTTATCTAAACAAACTGTGCATCAATTTGTGACAGTTCTAGAAATTGTTACAGCCAGTAGCCATAAAGAATTGAAGGACCATGTGCAAAAATGGCATGAGTGATAATTTAGTCCAAAAATAATTGTTGCTAAAAATTTGCATGTGGACTTGTTTTGTCATGAAGAATTTCAATCCAGTACTTTTTCCCCATTGGTTTTGCTCTGTAACTATTTTACAGTAATACTGTACAGCATACACATATGTGAATAAGCCAGTTTCTGGTGGTGGACTCCTTTTCCTCGTTCCCAGCAGTTGATTCTACATCTCTTTCCTGACAAAGAAAGGACGACAATGGATATTCGCAAATAAAATAAAGTCCCATGAAAATGTCTTACCACACAATTTTTTTTAACAGTCCAACAGAATGTGAGTGATATCGAACTTAAGTTTCTTGACAAGTGTTAAACTGTCCCAATCCTTGTTGAATGAGTTTTAAAGAGAATAGTGTTTGTTCCACTGTAGTAAGCACTTACAGATGTATTAACGATCTTCTTGTTTAGGAAAGCAGATGAAGGTCTTCTTTCAATAATCAATCATCAATCAGACCCTCTAAGGAAGCACAGAATTGCATACGGTTAGTATTGTGCTGGTACTCTTTAAAGGTCTTGGGCTGAAATGAAAATTTTTGTAGAGGATGATTTCACTTGCATTGCATTATACTAACCACACTTTGAATTACCAGTATAACAGTGAACACTGACTATTCATCTGTAACATTCCTAAATTGTGTACATAATAGTATTATTTTCAGCTCCATTAAATGCTATGGATCTCACAAATGTACAGTAAAGAAAACTTCAATTCGAATTTCAAATAATTTCTTCCTTTAGTATAAATCAGCACTAGTTTTATTTGGCAGGAAATGAGCAGACAAGACGTCTACTCAAAGCAGTTAGTCTCCTCTTGTGAAAGAAAGTGGGGCTTGATTGTTGACTTATCTTCCCTGGGGGGGACCTAGTGTGATTCATGGCGCAATCCCCAGAAGTTCTCTCTCCAGTATATTGAGGTTGATCAAACTATTGAGGTGGTTTTTGAAAGTGGGCCTTGGGCCTTGAGTAACCAGTGTAGTAAATGCATGTTCTTCGTCTGATCACTGATAGCCTCTTATTGGTCATTCATTGGGCATGGGACCTCAAATCATGTGACTATTGCAAGTTCTAGGTGACATGCACTCTGGGTCATTTTGGTTTTCTCTGCTCTGAAGAACCTACTTTCACCAACATGGCTAGCTTTTACACAGTTCAAACCTTGCTGACATATCTGTCCTTGCAAGAAAATGTTTGTTGGCCATTGACCATTGTTCTTACATAATAACAGTCAACCACTGACATGTTTAATTCTGACTGATTGGTTGCAGCAGATTTTCTCAACTGCTGGCTTCCCCAGGGTTGTTGCCATTATTATTATTATAATTATTATTATTATTACCTTCAAAAAACTTTTCTTTTTAGAACTGAAAATTTCACAATGAGTGTGTGGCCCGATAACATTTTTGCTACTCATCAATTTTGCAGTTTTTGATGGCTCTTATCACCTTAGAATGCTTAGATATTGCTTCAAAAGAGTTGACACTGAACAAATTGCACAAGTTAGCCAGCTCTTTCAACTTTTTCATTTTCTTATGAGAAAACACAAAGATTATGGCTATACTGTTCACAGAGACCCTTCATTTGTATAAACCTGACAGATTTTGTATCTGACTATTACTGAGCTAGTTTTTGCTTTTGGTGCCCAGGTTACAGAAAGCTTGTCTCTGCCTCATTTCCACTGAACCTTTGAATAATGATGTGATTCTTCTTTTAGTTTCTGGTTTAGGTTATGGCATAATAAGTGGTCTCTTTGCCATGGTCAATGTACTAGCAGATATAACTGGCCCAGGAACTTTAGGTTTACATGGTGACCCTCAGAATTTCCTTATTGTCTCTGGTAAGTGTTTTAACTTTGGTAAACAAATCAGTTTAGACAGTCAGGGTGTCCAGTTCCTATTTTTCCCATTTTTTGAGCCTATTTCTATTTTCTCCTATTTTTAAACTAAAACCTCCTATTTTTCCTATTTTTTATCTGGTGAAGCGAAAATTTGTCACAAAAACTGAAAATGGAATATAAACTATTGCTTCGATGCAACCAGCCTGGGTTGCCTGTGCCCAAAGCCAGCCTCATTTGAGATTTTTGGATGTAATTATGTGTGTATGTACGTATATCACCGCATTTGCCTCGATTTCAAGTATGGCCCTCGAAATCAAGGCTCTTTCATTCGCAGTCAATCGATTTGGAAAGAAAACAAAAGAACGCTCAGAACACAAATATAAAGTGTGAAGTGAAAAACTTAAATACTAGGAGAAATCCCGTTTCAAATAGAAAACCACATTTTTGCAAGCGTATAGTATGAATGCAAGTGAAGGTAAGAAAATTCCCGTGAATTGAGGCGATACGTTTCTCACAATTTTTCAAGCAATTCCTGGAACTCGACCATAGATGTTGTGGGCATAGGCAACCCAGGCTGGTCACGTACGCGATCTGAATTAGTCTCCGGCGAAGCCTGGTGGCTTGGCAGCAATAACCCTGATGAGGTGCAGGGAGGCTATCTTTGTTGACAAAAGTACTGTTGATTTTCCTATTTTTCTCCTATTTTTTTAATACAAAGTTTCCTATTTTTCCTATTTTCTCAATCCTGGGTTTCCTACCAGTTTCCTATTTTTTTGAGCAACGATGCTGCTGGACACCCTGATACCTTGACAAACTCGACAAAGACGCATTTTTACACAAAGTTTTGCACGTGTTGTCAGTCCTTGTTTTGCAAAAAGGATGCCAGCAAAATACAGATGTATGTCACTTATAATGTCAGCTTAAGCAAAAAAACTTGGGTACAGCTTTTTTGTTACGTCTTTTGTTGGTTTCAAACCTCAAAGAAGTAGTAGGGTTTTAAGCTCAATTTCTTTTTTCAAAATATTGTTTGTGTAATCAGTACGTGCACAACAAAACGCGGTGATGCCTCAACTGCGTTTACATTTACTCTCATGCAAACACACTACCCCGCCAATAAAAGCGTGCGCACCATCGTCTTAAATTTATAAATATATAGTTTATGTACAGGGTCTTAGTCCCTTTATCATGCTACCCAATGTCACAGTTGTATTCACCTAAGAGTGTTTCGTAAAATGAGTTTTGTGAATTTTTTTCCAGATTTTTGGTGTCACTTATTATATTTTTGCATTNTGGCCCAGGAACTTTAGGTTTACATGGTGACCCTCAGAATTTCCTTATTGTCTCTGGTAAGTGTTTTAACTTTGGTAAACAAATCAGTTTAGACAGTCAGGGTGTCCAGTTCCTATTTTTCCCATTTTTTGAGCCTATTTCTATTTTCTCCTATTTTTAAACTAAAACCTCCTATTTTTCCTATTTTTTATCTGGTGAAGCGAAAATTTGTCACAAAAACTGAAAATGGAATATAAACTATTGCTTCGATGCAACCAGCCTGGGTTGCCTGTGCCCAAAGCCAGCCTCATTTGAGATTTTTGGATGTAATTATGTGTGTATGTACGTATATCACCGCATTTGCCTCGATTTCAAGTATGGCCCTCGAAATCAAGGCTCTTTCATTCGCAGTCAATCGATTTGGAAAGAAAACAAAAGAACGCTCAGAACACAAATATAAAGTGTGAAGTGAAAAACTTAAATACTAGGAGAAATCCCGTTTCAAATAGAAAACCACATTTTTGCAAGCGTATAGTATGAATGCAAGTGAAGGTAAGAAAATTCCCGTGAATTGAGGCGATACGTTTCTCACAATTTTTCAAGCAATTCCTGGAACTCGACCATAGATGTTGTGGGCATAGGCAACCCAGGCTGGTCACGTACGCGATCTGAATTAGTCTCCGGCGAAGCCTGGTGGCTTGGCAGCAATAACCCTGATGAGGTGCAGGGAGGCTATCTTTGTTGACAAAAGTACTGTTGATTTTCCTATTTTTCTCCTATTTTTTTAATACAAAGTTTCCTATTTTTCCTATTTTCTCAATCCTGGGTTTCCTACCAGTTTCCTATTTTTTTGAGCAACGATGCTGCTGGACACCCTGATACCTTGACAAACTCGACAAAGACGCATTTTTACACAAAGTTTTGCACGTGTTGTCAGTCCTTGTTTTGCAAAAAGGATGCCAGCAAAATACAGATGTATGTCACTTATAATGTCAGCTTAAGCAAAAAAACTTGGGTACAGCTTTTTTGTTACGTCTTTTGTTGGTTTCAAACCTCAAAGAAGTAGTAGGGTTTTAAGCTCAATTTCTTTTTTCAAAATATTGTTTGTGTAATCAGTACGTGCACAACAAAACGCGGTGATGCCTCAACTGCGTTTACATTTACTCTCATGCAAACACACTACCCCGCCAATAAAAGCGTGCGCACTATCGTCTTAAATTTATAAATATATAGTTTATGTACAGGGTCTTAGTCCCTTTATCATGCTACCCAATGTCACAGTTGTATTCACCTAAGAGTGTTTCGTAAAATGAGTTTTGTGAATTTTTTTCCAGATTTTTGGTGTCACTTATTATATTTTTGCATTTAAGCATGTACATCCAAATCTAAACGGGTTTATATAATCGTACTTAAACGTCCGCTAGATTCTTAACACCATAAATATGCTTTCATTTGGAATGTTCTTCAATGAATGTTTATTTTATTCCTTCAGCTTTCTTAACATCTTGCTTTGTCCTTTTAAACACGTTCTGGGGAGTCGTCTGGTTTCATGCCTGGGATGAAAAGAAGTGGTTCAGTGTTTTCTTAGTTGTAGCTAGTCATCTCTTGGTGTCGTTAATGGTACGTAGTATAATGCATTGAGACCACTTTTTCCCTTTTAGTTTTGTCAGCTCTTTCTCCCAAAAAGGTTTCAAACTTTGAGAACGGACCATGTATGTCAATGTTAGTGTTGACTAGTAAAATGTCTTGTAAAATGTACAACATTTACTCAAACAAATTGCACAGCAGCACTTCGTATTAACTCAGTTTTAATGCAGTCTGCCTCGTTAGAAAGAAAATTAACCTGAATAATAGACCCTTCCACTTCTTTTTAACTTTTGACATCATGTACCAGTCAGAGAAAATCCGTCGCCAAGTTTGAAAGTGATACGTCTTAAGCGTGCGAAGATATATCTCCGCACAGGAAAATTAACAGAAGTTTGAATGTTGGAGGGCTAGTTTGTGCCCCCTACCATACAAAAGTGTTTCAAATTTTGCGACTTTAATGAGCTTTAAAATGTTTCTTCGTTAGTTTTCAACAAATCACTTTAAACCTTGTCGGTTTATTAATTTAAAGACGGTCTTTTCATAGTCCAAGGATTTCCTAACTTGGACCCACCACATAGTTTTTGGACTAAAGATAGTTCATAGCCTGTTCATAGCTGCCCCCTTACTTCCCTAAGGGAGGAGGCAGCTTGTTGAAAAGTTGAAAAGGTTAGAGAAAATAATCTTTCAAGATTTAAAAGTGATTGATTGATTAATACAACGGAAATATTCCACAGTCTTTTCATAATGTTCTTTTTCTATAGTGTCAAAATACCTGTACCCAGGCATGCATAGCTGCACCCTAACTTTGCTCCAATTTATATTTTTCATAGTGCTGCTTACCCGCTGGAAAATACAGTAACCGCATCAGTTCGCATTTTCCGAACTGTGAATTAACTGTGACTAATTGTTGTGTTTTGTGTTTTGTTTGTTTATTTTATAACAGACTCTTCTAAATGGTAAACAGCAGTATGTGGCATCACTAGTGTGTGCATACATCACCATGATTGTTATGGGCACCCTGGCATTTAAGACTGCGGGAGGCAGTCTCTTCAACATTTACAGACTCACCTCAAGGAAAACACACCGCGACTATTGAGTCTGGGAAGCTATATTACGTAAATTGTTTATCAGCCAAAGAAGGCATTGATCACAAGCCTCGAAACTCGAAGATATGAATTCTAAAGTAGTGCGAGAGAGTAAAATGTCGCCGATTAATGATACTCTTTACTGTTTTTCTCAATTAACTTGAAGGTTGTTAGAGGTGGAATAGATCATTTTAAATAAATTAAAATTGATACTTGGCTCCGAGACTCCAAAGAAATCATCTTGAAGCGCAGCAATGAGTAATACATTTCTTTTGTTTTATTCCCCCAAGCCCCGCAGCCAATTATAAACTTTATATATCGGAATTGGTTTATTGTCATTAACCACCTTGTTTATAATAAAGTGGCAAGATATAAGGCTGCCCGCATGTAAATGAACAGAAATCCTGAACACCAAGTGAACACCAAGGGTTAATAAACTGTAGATAAAATAAGGCGGCGTCTACTATGCTGAGTTTGTAATAAACTATTGCAGATAAAGATTTGTGGGGCTATGTTTCTTTGGCAAATGCCTGTGCTTTTGCTCATTGCACATCGATAGATAAGGAGGTAGGATAGACATTTAATTTAACCTCGATTGTTTTATCTGCTACAGGCGCTGTCTTACATAAAAGTGAAATATTTACATTTACATATATCATCTTGCAATATATGCAAGAGACATATTCGCAAGCTCCCAGCTAATAACTAAAGTGCAACTTCTAGGAATTATTAAAATAAAAATTCAATAAATCGAAAGGGGTAAACATCACACTGAAAATATGTAGTCCGAGATGGTGGCTTTAAATTTTGCAGTTGAATCCATTGTTAAATAATCAAATGGCAGGCTATTTCAGTCAATGATAGTTCTCGGCCAGAGGCTGTATTAGTACGTATCACGGGATGGCTGAAGTGGAGTAAAATTCAGTGGATGAGATACTCTGGTTTTTAGGGAAGACTGATGATGTACATAGCAGGGGATATCAATGGCGGCCTGGTTGGTAACACATTTGTACATTAGTGTTCGTCTAGCTACTTGTCTTCTTTTTTCGAGAGTTGGCCAATTTAGTTGCTTTAGCGCGTTGGTTACGCATCCCTCCTCTTTCCTGTACGTTCTTATTACGAAGCGTGCTGTCCAGCGCTGGACCTGTTCGAGCCATGATTTCTGATACGCTTAAATTTAATCTTTTTCAACAACTGAGAGACAGTGACATTAGTACTCATAAATGTACAGTGTAACTAAGTGGATTTTTTTTAGTGTTTTTAATAGTTTTTAGTGGTTCTTAATATTTTTAATTAGTTTTCAGTGAAATGTAATTTAGAATAATATTCTAAATTTTATATACTGGACATCTTGTTAAGACCAACGTGATAGATATCTCCAGTATAAATAAAGCTTTTATTATTATTATTATTATTATTATTATTATTATTATTATTATTATTATTATTATCATTATCATTATTACTAACCCTAACACTTCGATGGGTTGAAGGCCATTTGCCACAACTTCGCCCATTCAACCAATTTGTCCAGATCAGATCGGAGACGGATTGCATCGTCGGAATTCTGTACCAGACCATACAACAGTGTCGTCAACAAATAGCTTAATATTTGAGGTAATATCATCACCTATATCATTAACGAATAACAAGAAACACAAGGGACCCAACACGATTCCTTGCGGGACTCCGGATCTCGCGCAAGACTTCTCACTGTACTCGCCTTAAAGGAATTAGAGTACTATGGCATTCGTGGTTTACTCTTAGCCTGGATAAAGGCATGGCTAATAGGAAGAACTCAACAGGTGTTAAGTAACAGAGTGGTTTGTGTGCTATTTTATCGAAGGCTTTAGAAAAAATCTAAGATCAAAAGATCAGTCTGGTTTCCATCATTTACTGACCAGGCTAGATGCTCTACGGTATTGATAAGTTGCGTCTCGCATTAGTTAAATAGCTAATAGGATAAATAGCATTTCCAATCATACAAGGCGAATTTACGATTTACACTGTTTATGTAACATTTTGGTAGTGAAAATTCCCAAGATGAAGGTTTGCAACCCTTCCCCGTTTGGGAAAACGTGTTTTGTGACGTCATTGACGAAGCGATGTCACGTTATTTGAAATCACGTTTTGTTGAGCCACATTCGTAGTTCACTGTTCAGTAGCACTAATGGAAGCAAACCGTTCTAAATAGCATTTACTAAAATATGCATATTTAATTAGGTAGTCATGCCTTAAGTGGCCTGAGTTGTTAAAGCTTTGTTACTAATTACAAAGGAAGGTTTTTGAAACGTAAGCGAAGTAAAAGGGAAAAAGCAAAAAAAAACTTAAGGTCAGATTCTGAAGGACAGATGCATCATATAAACACCCGGGACTTCATGTTTACATATATATACAAAATTAGACAGAGGGTACAGCAATTTAGACAGGAATAAGATAAAGGTTAAAGAAAACTTTGGAAAAAAGAACAATCGATGATCGTCGCGTCTACAAGCTACAGTTTACAGGCGAGTAATGTATCCGTCAAATCGAAGCTTCAACATCCCCCCCGGGCAACCCCCCGGGCATTTGACTTTTTTGAAAATTATTGTTCAAATTCTCCCCTACCCGGGCCAAAATGTTTGAAGGCGATTGGCTGACCATCATCCGTGGTTCCTGTCCGGTCCTTACTGACAGTGACAATTGAATGTTAATCATTGTTGAGATGGGACGCCACAGCCAATAGGGTTCGGCACATGCTCCCGACACGTAACTGTAAGCCTTAGGCTAAAATATTAAAAAACATAAAACAGCCTCTCTTCACTCCTAATAACTAAACAGAACAGAAGAGGGCGAATCAACATACAAAAGAGAGCAAATCGACAAACACGAGGAGGGCATATCGACACATATGAGGGCATATCAACACTTGAGGGGGCAAATAAATATAAAAAGGGGGCAAATCCACCAGACTGTAAATGTTTTTGCCACCACTCTAAACAATCACCCAAACATTATTGCCATCATCAACTTGACCATATGAGAATCTTTTAAAGAATTGAAGTTTTCACTAAAAATTATAGTCTAACATCTTTGGTAAAGAGATGGTACCCGAAAAATTTGAAATCTCTTTAAATGGCAAAGATGACCTTTTAAATCCTGTAAAAAATCGCCAAAATATATTCCAGGTCTAAACTGAAAAACAAAATAGACTTAAAAAAATTTCCAACCAAATTCATAGACTAACCCCTTTGAAAAAATCTAAAAGGGTGGCCAACGAAGTTTCAAATCTTCAAATTTAATGAAAATGACCTAAGTACGAGACAAAAATATCACCCGACATCGTTTCCAACTTCATTTTACTTTACCAAAATTATAAAAAAGCACTGTATTCACTAAAGGGTGAATTGTGCCGAAAAAACACCCTTGCAGATTTCCAGATAGAATAACTCCAATCACTAAAGAAAATATAAAAATATAAAAGGATTCACCCTTACAAGAGTAATTTTTTGTCCATTTTCACCAAAATAAAATCTCAAAAAGGTGACAATTTTAAGCAATTGACCCTGAAAGGGTGAAAAATGTCAACGAATCAAAAAGAAAAAGGGTCAATTGTGTAAAAAAAAACACCCACGCAGAATTCCAGATAAAATAACCCAAATCACTTATATAAATATCAAAATTTTATAGCATTCACCATTACAAAAATTTTTTTTGTCCATTTTCATCCCAAGAAATCCAAAAAAGGTAAAAATTGTAAAAAATACACGCTTGAAGAGTAAAAAATGTCAACAAATCACCCAAAAGATAACGGGTGATTTGTGTCAAAACAACACACACGCAGAATTCCAGATAGAAAAACCCCAATAACTAGAATAAAAATCAATATTTCAAAAAAATTCACCATTAAAAGAGTAATTTTTTGTCCTTTTCACACAAAAAATATCTCAAGAAGGTAAAAATTTCAAAGAATTCATCCGTAAGGGTAAAAAGTGCAAAGAATTCACCCTTGAAGGATAAAAATTGCAAAGAATTCATCCTTAAAAGGTCAAAATTGCAAAAAATTCATTCTTAAAAGGTGAAAAATGCCAAGAATTAACCCTCAAAGGGTAAAAATTGTAAAAAATTCACCCTTCAAGGGTATAATCAGCGAAGGAAGCTAGGGTGAATATTTTCCCGAAATTTTGACTTTGATTTCCTTGTCTCCCTCTTAAAAAATTGCTTTCGATGGAAATAGTTAATATCCTTCTTGAGTGAAACGCTAGGAGGTGTCGACTTCAATGTTTTATTGTTTTGGTTTTTGTTGTTTGAAAATTGGACTTGTGAAAGTTACAAAAAAACAAATAACATGTGGCGTGTCTTCCAGTAGCGTTTACAGCCGAGATGTAAATCAAATCTTAGCAAACCAAAGGTTGAAAAGACTACTTAAAGAACAAAGGCTGTTATAGCACTGTCTCAGTTGCACGTTAACCCTGAGATTTTAACAAAACCTGCGGGATAAAAACGCTAAACGCGCAATTGCA